AGGAAATTAAAGGTCGATGACCACCCTCTTCTAGCCTGAAAGGTTTCAGCAGAGAGATCTGCAATCATTCTAATTTTCTTCCCCTTGTAGGTTAAGGTTTTCTTGCATCTAGATGCTTTCAGAATTTTCTCTTTCATGGTAACTTTAGTGAAGTTGATTATGATATGCCTGGGGGATGTCTTGTTTGGGTTGAGTCACGCTGGGGTTCTGAGGCTGTCTGCTATCTGAATTTCAGGATCCCTTGGCATGTCTGGAGAGTTCTCTTTCATAATTTCCTGAAGAACAGCCTCTGTGTTTTGTGAAGCAACTTCGTCGCTTTTAGGGATTCCTGTAAGGCAAATATTAATTTTCTTCGAATTATCCTAGAGCTCTCTGAGTGAGTGATCCATTTTTGCTCTCCATTTGTCTTCATTTTTGCGTTTTGCAAAATCTTTGTCTTCAGTGTCAGAGATCCTCTCCTCTGCTTGTTCCCTTCTCTGACTAAGGAATTCAACCATACTCTTCAGATCTTTGGGGGCTGCAACCTGTTGTGTTGTAGTCTTTGGTCATTTTATCTTTGAAATCATTGAATTCTTGAGACATCTTTTGAATAATTTAAAATTCTAGTTCCCTCTTTTCCTCTATTCTCTTGATCTTATTTGCTATCCAGATTCTGAACTCTATTTCTGACATCTCAGCCATTTCTTTATGGAAGGGATCTGCAATTGCATCTGCCCCATCCTTCCTTGGCGGGGGGTGGGGGGTTGATCTACTCTGGTTTTTCTGGTTGCCAGAGTTTTTCCGCTGATTCCACCCCATGCTGAATTTGTACCTTTCAAAGACTGTCCCTAAAACTGTTCTGCCAGTGGCTTCTTCTGGTTGTCTAGAGAGATAGTGCGTGTCTACCCGGAAAAACCTCAGGAGTATAAGCCTTATTGTTCCTGCTGCTGTGGCTGTAGGGGTATCGCTTCAACTTGGGGTATCACTGCTCCAGTGTGGTTCCCTCTCAACTGGCTGTCCTCTCGCAATTCTTGGATGGGCCTGGAATGCCGGAGCCCCCTGGAGGTGGGGAGCAACCTACAGGCAGCCGCACAGGGGGTGTGCTGGCTGGATGAATCAGTCTTTGGGGCGTGCCACTGGGCAGCCCCCAAGGAGCGAAGATAGCAACAGACAGGCAGCTGGACAGGGGATGCACTAGCTGGGTGGATCAGTCCTTGGTGCGCATGGCCAGGGAGCTCCCAAGGAGCGAGGCTAGCAACCGGTGGGCAGCTGCACGGGGGATGCGCTGGCTGGGTGGATCAGTCCTCAGTGCATGCTACCAGGGAGCCCCCGGGGACCAGGGACAGCAGCCGGGCAGGCGGCCAGGCGTGAATGCACTGGCTGGCGGGATCAATCTGCACAGAGCACGTGTGGCTCAAGCAGTTCTCCCTGTGCGGGACCGAGACCGGGACTTGGTTCTGCAGGGGTGGGGGGACATTGCTCCTGGGTCTCCTCTCACTGTTTCTCCAGGCAAGGGGGGAAGAGTGGACTGGAAATTCAAAATGGCAATGCAAACACCAGTTCCACTTTTCTGCCTGGGAGCGGGTATTCGAGGTCTCAGCAGGGTCCTTCCAGGGGTGTAGACCCCACTGTCAGTAGCTCTCACTCCTGGCTTGAGATAATAAGTCCTCAGTTTATCGATCTCCTGTAGGAGACTCAGAGGAGCAGTTGAAGAAAAAACAAAGGAAAAGTACAACTTTCTTGGGGGAAGGGACGGACACTTTTCCTTTGCGGTATATATTATGTACCTGTAGATTGCTTTATAGGAGTTGCCGCTTGCCTTGGCAGAGGTGTCGTGCCGGTATCACTCTTCTCTCTTGGCTGTGCTCCCAGTCTTTGACTTTGTTGGGTGTTTTTTAGACTTTATCCTTCCCTCTGGACAGGAGCTTCTGTTGGAGGCTGGTACCTGTTGGCCATCTTGCCCCTCCCCCCTTTTATCATTTTTGAGTACTCAAATGGTCATTGCTATAGGGAAAAATAGTTGATTATTTTTGTTGTTACTGGGGAATGAAGAATTTATCTTTAAATTAATACTTGTGCTATGAGTATGTAAAATGTTCATATTTTAATTTATTATAAGTTTGGATTATTTGATAGGATTGGTTACTTGCATTATGCAGCCTTTTTTGCCCATTTTCCCCCTATTTTTTCTTACTTGGGGTTAGAAAGATTTAAGGGTAAATTCATCACCCAGATTTAATAAGTAATATCTTATAAATACATTCATGTCTTTAGACCCTATAGTTCTATTTTTCACAATCCATTATAGAGGGATAATCCAAAAGAAAGGGAAAAAGTAAGTGCCTAATTATATCCTTTGTGATATTATTTTTAAAAACCAAAGTCTTAATCTATTTATTTGTTTATTTATGTTTGAGATGAGCAGTGTTGTAAGGAATCTGATTATAGGCGGGGGGGGGGGGCGACTAATTTCTTTTTTGAATCAGAGGAAAATAAGCTTATATAGGGGAGGAAGTGGGATTTAAGAGGCAGAACCAACTTTTCTTTGCCCGGATCTTCACATTGCTAATATTGATAGCTGGTCTTCTCTGATTTTTTTGAAAAGTAGCTATCCGGGGGCCCTTAGCTGAAATCGAGTATAATCAGCCTGAGGTTTGGAACTAGTGCTAGTCTCAGAGTAAAAAGAAGGTAGGTCAAACTTGAGGAAGAATTGCCAGGTGGCAGCAGGCCCTTCTCATTCAAGGGACAGCCATACGCACCCCTGGGGGCCCTAGATAATGGCATTCAGCAAATTTATTGAGTTCCTACTATGTATCAGGCCTTGATCTAGTAGAGGTCTATCAGTGCAAAATAAATAAATAAACCACCAAATTCCTGTTCCTGTATGATAAGGGGGAAGTTCTGAATGGTGTGGCTGCCTGATGTTGAGTCTTTCCATTCACACTCCTCCAAAGTTCCAGCAGGAACTCAAATAAAAGCACACAAGACCTGCATCTTGTGGAGCATTGGCAGATAACAGCAACACTGTGATCACAGAGAACAGCACAGGGGAAGCTTAAGAGTGGCTTACGAATCTGTGAAACAGAGTACAGGGGTGTGCCAAACTTAGTTTAAGCACAGACAAAAATTGCTCCAAAAAGAGAAGCCTAGGACTTGATGAAGTTCTGAAATTGGCTACAGGAAAGAAGATTGAAAGTGAGTGGGACCTGAACTGGCAGCCATTAGAAAGTGCTGCTTCTGAGAGAGGTTAAGATATGTATATACCAATATACAAGACAAAGGGAGAGAGAGAGAGAGAGAGAGAGAGAGAGAGAGACCCCCTGAAGACATGAGACCGAAAGTAAAGAAGGAATGAACAGGGGAAATAAAGGATTCCATGGAAATGCAAAAGAAGCAAGACACTGCAAACCCTCCTTGCTTTCTCAAGTGAACACTGGCTATAAAACTACATAGCCAAGGGCAAAACAGACAGAAGACTAAGGCTCAAGCTAGGAACTCTGTCTGTTAAATGAGTAGGAATAGAAGAAAGTCACTTACATCTATTAAAAAAGCTGTTCTAAAAGATTAGAAAGTACCAATCAGTGCATTTTAGCTACACTCTTAACAAAAACTCTTGACAAAATCTGCCGTATAATTGAAGAAAACTGTACACAACACTGAAATATGAATTAATTATTCTCATTCATGATTTTGGGTATATGAAACAAAGAAAAAAACCACCTTGAATCGGAATTACAAAAACTAAGAAAGAAATGGACAAAGAAGAAAATGAAATAAAATGAGAGTTAATCGAACTTCTGGAAAATACAGAAGTATTTTCAAATCAGAAATAAAGACTGTACTTGCAAGATGCCCAAAGGAAAAAACATATTCAAATGACAGATGACCTGACATATTGATATTTACATTAAATGTCAGTAGCCTAAGCACATCAGTGAAAAATCAGAGATTGGCAGAAGATGTTAAAAGAAAAAAGTAACCCAGCATATATGCTGTCTATAAGAAATGCACTTCAACTATAATGATATTGGTAGGATAAAAGAAAAAGGATAGGAAGAGATAGACCATGTAAACATTAGTCAAGAGAAAGGGGGGTTCTTATACTAATTTCAAACAAAGAAGACTTTAGAGCAAAGAAAATTACCAGAGACAAAGAGGAACATTATATGTTGATAAAAAGGTCAGTTCACAAACAAGACATAGCAATCGTAAGTGTGCATGCAGTAAACAACATAGTTTTGAAATACAAACAGCAAAAACCAGACAGAACTCAGATGAGAAACTGACAAATCCCCAATTATAATTAGTACCCTTTCTTTCAATAATTGATAGACTTACTGTTAGAAAATCAGTGAAGAAGTGGCTCGGCGCCTGTGGCTCAAG